AACAAAATGGTGGTACACAAGTCGGACTTTCTTTTTTGATCCTACCATGGTCATCTTTATCAACACCAGTAAGTGTTTATTAATCACGTACTATGCACATAACACTCCTAAAAGTCATTATATAAACTGTGTAAGACTATACTTGCAATTTAGATGGTAGACAGATTATATGTAAAAAGATAAAAAAGCTGTTTTATGCATCCTCTGATGACTGCAACTAGTGTTTTTTTCCTGTACATTGTATCATCACTGTTTAGAATTGCCTTTTTCCAGTTAGATTTATGCTGCCTTTTTCCTGGAAGAAGGTATAATTAAACACACACACACACACACACACACAGTACAACAATGCATGAAAAGTAGCATGCTAAGTGTTAATGACCATATGTGTTATTGGAATTCAGAAGAGAACCAGCACCTGTGGGAGCTAGGTTTGAGGGCTGTGGAAAGAACATTAATGAGATTTAAAATAGGTTATAGGTAACAAGGTTGTGGCAGAAGGATGCGGGCAAATTCAAGAATGCTTAGTCACTTAACAGATTAAGATGATTAAACTGAAGAAATGAATGGGAAGGTGGGAGGGGAAAGGAGGAGGACTGGATTGCTTATTTCCACTGAAGACCTTACAACTAAGGACCAGTAGGTGAAAACTGTACTGTCCAATTGTTGGCAAGAAGCCTAACTGGAGCAAAGAGGCTTGTTTAGATGGTAAAATTAATTATACAGAATGGTATAAGTGTTAGCACTAAGCATTTAATTTTTTGGGAGGTCACATGAGATCTTTTGTAGTTTTTCAAATAATAAACGGTTGGTGGGGCTGTTGCTCGTGGTAGAGGGCTTGCCTAGCACGTTTCAATGCCCAGTACCCCTTGTGGAGGAAAAAAGCTGTTGTAAAATGTAAAAGCAGAAGTGAAAACAATTAGAAATGAAAATAGACATTGGCGGGCACATGGCGGTTACAGAGATCATGATTACTAGAACCGGTATTAACAATAAAATTCCTGGCTTCCAACCTCACCCTCTGATTAAAAAAAAAATCCATTACAGTGCACCTAAGAAATTACTTGTGTAAGACACACGCTGCATCAGCCAGCAGAGCAGTGCAACTATTAGTTTACAGTGTTGTACGTTGACAACAAGAGATCTGCTCTCACCTTGTCTGTAAGGAACATGAAGCTGTGAAAAATAAACTTTGTCATCAGATGACAGATCTTCCCCCAAGGCTCCAAATACTCCTACCCCTCACTCACATAAAAATGTGAATTTACAAAGGGCCAATGGTCTGGGGTCATCAGAGAAGAAGAAAGACCGGACAGGGTGAAGAAGAGGATTTCTTCTCCAGCCAAACTCAGCTAACTCCGTAGACAGAATTAAACCAATCTGTAATATCCAGTTTTAGCCCTTACTCCCTATCTTTTCATCCAGAATAATAACATTTACCTAATTTTTCAGTAATTAAAATGTCAGATCTAATTTTAATCACTATTAGGTCCAATTAGTTTTCTGTTTAGTTAAAAAATTTTGAATGTATAATATAATATACTGTAGTTAAAAAACTAAGCAGCTTAAAGTGTTTACAGTGAAAAGTCTCAGATACATCCTGTCCTCCATCAGCCTCTCCTTCCCCATCCCTTGGTAACCACTTCAGTTACTTGCTTTTGCATTCTTCTAGGATTTAAATAATTATAAACAAATACACATTTTTATATTTTTCTTCTCTATTATACACAGAAATTAGTATGTTATGTGTAACATTCTGTATCTTGCTATTTTATTTAGACTTACTGTACTTTGGAGATCTTTTCTCATCAGTAATTAGGGTATAGACTTAGTCTATGCTGCCATCAATACAGGTCTGTTACCTCAAACTCTTTAGAAGCAGAGCAAGATCATGATTTTATTTATTATGCTTTTTAGCCCCTTCCTAATCTGTGTGCTGGTTACTAATAGGAACAGAGACAAAGATATAAAGCCACTTGCCTTCCAATATCATGAAAAGGTGGGGAGAAGAGAGCTCTTCATTCTGTGCTGTGACTTCTGCGTGAACTTGATTTGGCTTAGATTTGTGTTGTCTTTTTTTTTCCTTGGAAATAGGCCTTTGCTTTCATAATTATGTTTTGTTTCTAAGGGATATCCTTTGAGCAAACACAGGCTATCTCCCTGGTTTTTGTGTTATTGTATTCTTGGGTTTTGATAAACATTTCCTATCCTTAATCTTTTTGTCTAAATTTTAGTTTTGGCTTCAGTTGTGTTTGAT